CGACTCCGGGCGAAATGAAGGGGCAGGGAAGGAAGGGCTGCCCCGGCGCGACGCAGCGCGGCGCGAACCGGCGGCTAGAAGGGAAACGCGGGAGAGAACGCATGCGTGACTGCGTGCAGCACGGATGCACCGGATGCGTTTCCTCGGCTGTTACCGCGAAGGGGAGCCCACAGGCCGCATACGAAAGCAAGGACAGCCGGCACATTCCTGCACGAAAATCTAACGAACCCGCGCCGGCGAGCTTTCGCGACGACTCGTGGAACCCTCGAGCTCAGCGCGGGGTGCTAGTTTCACCCTGGATAACTAAACATGCATCTGAATCAGTGCTGGCCAATCTTTGCATACAATACGCTAATTTCGTTCGCAGGCGAGTTCAGACGCGCCATACTCAAGCACCTCTTCGACTTCCTTACATTCACGGTTGTGGAAGAATAAGGATAGAAGGATCTACTTCGCTTGGAGGAGGAAAAGGAATAACTCAATCTCGCGATTAAATTAATTAATTCACGTGAGTTCACAGGGCACGCGTTTATTGAAGCAGTTGAAAAGTGTGAGTTGACGCAAGGATGCAATCCACTTGGAATCATTCAATGTGCCACGTTTGGCGCATGCGCCACGGTTTGGCCGCCGCTGGTCTAAATGGTCTACCAGCTTCCGCCATTTTTGTGAATGCAGGGCATTTTTAACATCTACCAAGACTACAAACGTTCATTTTCTACGCTTGAGCTGCGATACTTCGTTTGAACTGAATGGAAATATAAAAATATGAGTTGAATATTTTGTTACATGGTAACAGTAATTTAAGGTTAGTTATCTAGGGTTAACGGTCACTTTGTACGTGCACTATCGGTTAACAGATTGGGACCATCGATTAATAGACGGTTTTGTAAACAACTTATATTGGAGAATTTTTGTGTAAGATAACGAAGTTCATAAGATATACAGTTCTTAATTTGCGACGTTATATATCAAATGTTTCTAAAACCTTGATCGTGTACACCTGACTCTCGATTTACGTGGACTTTTTCTACAAAGTAAATTGGAACGCTATTCACGCGGTAGTTTTCACGCGCTTGATCTCTTAAGGACAGAATTTCTATTTATACAGATAGAGATGGTTTCACCCGAGCAAATGAAATTCATGAAGAAGGAAATCAACGGAAGGAAATCAAGTTTCAAGGATCAACGAAAGTCCATTCGTCCAGAAAAGAACCGGGAGGCATTAAAATTCATAGCGTCCGAATGAAATGTATAAACGCGATCGCGCGGATTAATTGTCTTTCTAATTAATCGCCGTCCCGTCCGGCTAAGCAGAACGAGTTGAATTCGAAATCGAAGTCTCGCCGTTGTTTAATTTTCCTCGTGAAAGGAAGCTTCCGGCAACGGTAACGTTCACCGTTGGGACTTTTTGCTGATCGGAAAGCAGCGACTGCACTCCGTTACGACAGACCGGAGGCCATTTTGCAGGCGTCAATACGCGTCGCAAATTGCACGGTGCATTATTACTCGGCGCCCTCTTCCGGTAGTCGCATAATTGGCCCCTATAAAGGCCATCAGCGTTGAATAAGTGAATAATATTGTAATGATAATGCACAGTGTATAAATAATCTCCTCCGCGAGGGTTCTTCCGCTTCCCATCGCGACGATCGGGACCGACGCGATACTCGCAAGAAACGAAACGCGAGATCGTACGTTTATCCTACGGTCCTCGGGCTCTGCCCTCGCGATTCGTTCGTTTCCCCTTTCTTCTTCCGCGAGAATTTATTTATTATCCTCGTACCACGATTTCGCGTTCCATCGCGCGAAAACACTCGAGTAATCGAGTCGCCGAGAAACTTCGGATTAAACGCTCCCCGGGGCGCGCGGAATATCAATACTCGAAAAAAGCTGAAGAAGTGGGACGGTGCTTCGTATACTCGCACGCTCCTCTTCTCCGCGATGTCTCACGGCACCGTGAAAGTTTGATTTTTGCCTTCAACCGTGAATAGTAAAAGTTTCACTGTGAATTGTAGCGATCAGTTATTAATTGAACGTAAAAACGAGAGGAACTCGTGGACTTAGCCGGGAAAAGGAATCGAGGCCGAAAGTGACTTTCTCGTGGATTAGTGAACTCGAAGAATTATAGTGAACGTGAAGAAAATGAGAGGAATAATAATATATAAATTAAAAAGACTACAAATGCCACGTGTTGCACTAAACAAATCTCGGTTATTTGAAAGATTTATTATCAAGAAAATACGGAGGAACTTCTCAATCAAGAATTCCTAAATACTTTGTTTCGCAATTTTCTCATTAATTAATTATACAAGTGGGGGAACAAATAAAATTGATTGTTCCCGAAAGGGTGACATTTAAGTGTCATCGCCGTCGATTAGCGCAACAGAGACATTAAATACTAAGCCTGAAATTTCGAAGATCACAGAACAGGGTATGATGGACGTATCAGGCCCCGGAAAATTGCGCGGCGATAAACGGGACACGGTGGAACGCGACGGAACGAGTCCTCCGTGTAAATCACCCTGTTCTGTTCTCGGATGTAATAGCGCGGCTATGATATCGAGGTACACGGAGGCGCCAATTAGTAATTTGCAATTTACATGCGCGAACGAAGTAATTTTCTGGGGACGCGTCGATACTTGCCGCCTCAACGGTTATTGAACGACAACGGTCCGGCGTCGTGTAAAATCATTCAACGCGATGACATACATCCTCGAATTATAATATTCGAATCCTCGTTCCCGTTTCGCCGTCCCACGGGAACCGGTCCGGCTCCGTTAAACTCGAATCAGGCGAATACTATCGAACACCGGCGTCCGCATCGCGGATTGATACATTCGATTCGCAGGAAACGCTGTTAGAACAAAAAGTCGAGCGGAGCAATTCGATTCCCTGCGCTCGAAACTACTTGCAAATAAGAAGATTATCATCGGGATATCCTTGGAAACAGTTCCTCCCGGAAATTTTTATTCGATACTTCACATCGTTAATAAGATTCGTACGTCGTCGAGGTAATTGGATTACCCTTTGCTGTTTAAGTTCGCGAATACGTTAGTAATTTTGAAATAATTTCATCGAACAAGTGGTTCATTCATTTAGAAATTTAATCATTTTTAATCGCGGTTTATTGTCTCGGTATTCTCATTTGCCGATCCTATCGACATTCTTCGATTAGCAGTCGATCATCCAATAAGGTAACAGGAATAATGTATCGATTCCTGAAGCTTCTCGTTACGTTTCTCGCGAATTTCCGCGTGTGTAGAACGAACGGAGGTCGGGGAATCCATTCGAACGAAGTATCCGTTGGTATCGTACCGTGTCGAAAGGTTTCGAAGTTTGTGAAACTTCACGCGCCACCTGAACTGTGAACCCCTGCCCCGGGAGTGCTTGGACTGTGAAATCTGATAAAGGAAGAATCTCGGTGCTCCCCATTTCCCGTAACCGAGCAATGAAACTCACGCGAACGAAATATTTATTATTCTCGTTATCCTGTATGCGATTGTTCGTAGGCACAAAATATCATCCACAGTTTCTTCTTTCGCGGCTTTAACGACCGTCCGCGCAATAAAGATCGACTTATTGGACTATTATCAATATTAATGGGCAAAACGGATCGCATAGCTCTCTGATAAAATAACCCGAAGCGGTTCGTTCGATCCTAGACCGTCGAATTAGACGGCTACGTCGAAGACGAATCGCGGAGTTTCGAAGCCTCTTCGCAACCAAACCCGTCTAAGTTTATTATCAATAATGTACAAGAAAGGGGAACAAATTTTCCAGTCACTGTAACCGTGACTTTACTTCGAAGGTAAAACGTCGACGCTGGCAAAACAATCTTCCGCTTCGATGCACACATAATGAACAGCGATGATTTTTATTAAACCAGGAATTATTCCCACGAGCCTCACTTGTGGTTGATTAGAGTTATCGAAAGGTCTTCCCGTTTTCCTAATAAAACCTCGCATGAAACTAAGCAAAGAAATAGTTACATTTCAAAGTTAGTGTACACTATGATACTATAAAAACACTAATAAAAATACGAGAGAAACAGAGAGAGTAACCCAAAATAATGCTAATTCCCTCATCAATTACTCACTTTCTCCGATAAATCTATAATACTATTTCACTCCACTTTATCTACTTTAATATACATCAGACACATTATTACACACCCCGCTAGTGATTCTCAAAACCAAATCCCACGTTTAACGCATCAAAATTCTCTCCGCCATCCCTGATACGCGTCAGCAGGTTATTACTAGAACAACCGAGCATCGACTACGATAAATGTGCGATCCTTATAAAAACTGTAACAATACGTAATTTTCCTTCATATATTCAAACAAAACGATTCACTTCTAAAATCACGTAGGATATTCAACACTCTCAACAAACCAATGACTATAAAATAAGAACACTGAAATCCGCCATTCCAAGGCAGTTGCCGGTGTCAACGCGAACGAAAGTTTCCACGGATCGGAGAGTCTCGTTTCTTTTTCCCCGGACAATGAAAACGAACGCGGGATGAGGAAAAGCGGGAGAACCAGAGGTGTTTCCCGAGGTTGCGCGTGCTCGGCTGGCCGGAACGGGCGGACAGCAGTGCCTCAGTGAAACGGCCCGCAAAAAGGAACACAGAAAATTCGCCGGGGGGACAGCATTTACATAGAACGCCCGTAACGGGTACCTGTTTCCCGTGTCATCGCGGAACGACGACGGGTTCCGCGCCGGTGGAAGGCGTGCTCGCTCGCTCGCTCGTGGTTCGTCGAACTTTTTCGCGACGTAACCGTCTAATTAGCGTCGGCGTACCAAGCGGAGTCGCGCGTTCCTCGTTCGCCTCGGTCTACGTGACGTCACGTATTTAGAAAATAATCATCGGCGTCGGCGCGCGGGAAACCGAGGCGTCGTCACGTTCAATGCCGTCTTGTAATTTTACTTGCCGTCTGTGTGTCGGCGCGCCGTTCCCGATGACGATCATTATTTAGTCCTTCGTCACTTGGTTCCAGGCATTTCTCCCTGGATTCGGTCTCTCTTCGGAAAAACGACGGATGAAGTGAACGACGACGAAATTTGGAAGGTGAGTGAATGATTAGTGTATTTGAAAAGGATGATGGGGTGTGATCAATGCCGGAGACTTGGTTTCGAGAATGTATTCGGTGAATGTTTGGCTAAGAGTGAATTAAGGGCTAATGAGCAGACGCTTCTGGATTGCTTGGAAACAATCGTAACATACAAGAGAACGGATGTTCAATGAACGTGTTTAATAACGTGACTAAGCTGATAATAGCGTAATGCAGGGATAGTAAGAAATAATCATTGTACCAGCTTTCTCTTGCTACAAAAGGTAAACTCTACGAAAGAACGGCCAAGATTTTAATGGCACTTAACGCGTTAATGATGAGATTCGGTTGGTACTCTGTCTCAGAAATTCAGTTTAAGTTAGTTCATTTCCAGGATATACTTGAAGAATGGCGCTTCAATTAGATTATTTGGTTCCATCGAATTCCGAACGGTTCATCGATCAGTGTTCACAACACAGGAGAATCTCTCTCTTGTTTCACGCCGCGTCATCGACGTGCAGCCACCGTTGACGTCTACGGCAATGGGTATTTTTACCGTTTTCCCTGGCCGAAAACGCTGTTTACGCGTACCGCCGCGAGCCGCGATCAATCATCCGCGGCGGAACGTCCGCGGTTACGACGGTGATAATTAAATTTGATAAATTAAGAGGCGAGGGAACGGTCGAAGGTGGATCCGCTCGTGCGCGAGTGCTTACTTAAGTACGGTTCAACGGTGAATCATCTAACGAGGACGCGCGCGCGTCACTTTGACGTCCACCGACGCACCGGAGAGGAATTAACGTAATCTCGGCGTGTATCTTCGTATGGGAAAAAGGATTTAACCGTTTCAATGCTACCAGGACGCCGGCCGGGCCGGGTAATTCAATGAGGCCACGAGCGAGCGAGTGAGCGAGCAGCCCGCTTACCTTCTCAAGACACGTTTCCAACAAATAGAATCTGTTTTTCTGCGGTCGCAGTTCGCGCACCGTCCCAGCCGGCTTTTTTCCGTCGCCAGGTATCGTCTCAGCGTTTCTCGGAATCCTTCGAAATCGAACGCATCGATCGGCGCAAAAAGTTCTGACGTCCAACTTTACTCGCGATTTATTATGCCTATTCAAAAGCGAGACGTGTTTGTCTGTTCGATTAACCTCTTGCACTGCGATTTCTTCCACGGCTGCGCTCGTCGGAGTTATTTCATTGATAACTCATTAGAAAGAGAAACAATCCACGTTTATTCCGAAGCACTGGGATTAATAGTAGAAATAGAATATTCGGTCTGAACTTGAGGGAATTAACCCTTTGCAGGCGAAGATTCTTTGAAGTATACGAAACCTTCAGCAGATGAATGTAAATTATATATCGATTGCTGAAATAATAGGAAGAAAAGAAATCATACACTGATCTCTTGCTGTTTGAATAATTGAATTGTTTGTTTGCGACTTACTCTTCCAAATATGGAAATTTCATCTCGCCGAAATGTAGACATTCGTCCGCAAAGGGTTAAGTGATATTCATATTTGTTTCCATTTGAAATCTTTGCCACGAGTCCGACACGATATCGTAGTTCAAGGGGTCAAAGGTTCAACATTAGATAGCAACACGTATACCAGATTGTCTTGTTTAGTCAAGCTCAATGCTGCTTGTTCGTGAAAAATAGAAGTTAATCGGAAAAGATTAAATGAATCTAATAGAATATGAGAACTCTGCTCGAAGAGAACTAGTTTTCTTCTGAATGTCCTAAAAGGACTAGATTAAAAGTATGTAGCAAAGGGGTGGTGGTCGCGATGCAAGAAACCTTGTCCAAAAATGGAGTCTGTCGGAGTGCAGCGCATGGATCGACAAAAAATTTCTAAAGGAAGAGACTATCGTGGAATGAAGAACGAAAATCGAAATCGTTCGCGATCGAAATTTCTATATTGTCGCGGAGGTTTTGTGTCTGACAAGAAGAATGGAAAAGATGCGAGTGACCCAGAAGTCGGATTTATTTTTGCGATGTGTGTATATACCATCGTCGCGTTCGCTATCCTCGCGACGACGTTGAACGACGAACGACGACAGGACGAGCCTTCCGACTGCCGAGTTCCGCGGATTTACGGTAAAAACTAGTTTCGCGGGACGCCTATTTTCAGTCGTTCGACCGTCACCGACACGCGGACGTTCGTTCGACTCGCTTCCCTTCGATTTTATACAACTCGCGTCGGTAATCGACGATCTCCGCGAAAACAGCATCGAAAATACCGATGAATGCTCAACGATTGTTAACCCTTCGCATACCGAATGCTGTTTTCTATATTTTCTTCATACTATCGGCTCATCGAGAATTTTTTATTTCGAATCATATTTGAATTGCCCTGAAATAATACACACATTCTATATAAATTGGAAATAATAAAATCCGTTTTATTCCGAAGAACATTTGATCGATGAGACATTGTATAAATAGTCTTTATATTAATAGTCATAATCATTTGCACTCGGAAGCTTTTCACTGGAAACATTCGACACTTTCCGATGAAACATGGACGACACTATTCGAAACGAACTAACGCGGAAAACTACGTAAATTAAGAAACGAAGCTATTATTTCAATATTTCACGTGTTCATGGATTATAAGAAGCTGAACACGTTGACTGCCACGAAAACTTTCAGAGTTTCATGTATCGCTTATTCTCTTGTAGCAAACATAAAGAGGAACAGTTACTTATCACTTGGTATCGCAATGCTTACGTTACACTGTTATCTAGTAATTTATTAAATATTATCATTCGACATTAGTTATCTGTCAGATTATAATTATTGTCGAGTAATTTGGAAGCTCCGGTCGTCAGTGACATGGCAGTCAACGTGTTAATATCATATTATATTATAAGATTTTATGATTTTGATATATCAAATTGTATGGTGACTGAAATTCACCTCTTATAGAAATATTTCATATATCGATGCATCATACGAAACTTAATATAACACTTCGTAATTTTGTTATATCAAATCAAATGGTGACTCATAGTCACCTCTCCAGTGCAAACGCTTAAAGTCCGAAATGAAGCGCCGGTTGAAAAACCGTGAAAATTCTATTAGAACCATCTGTTCGGTTTTTCCGTCGGGTTTCTTCGTTCCCTTCTGAAGATTTATGGAAGCTATGAATGCATAAATACCCGCAGGATTGCAAGCCTCCAGCTCGGCCGCGGTGGACACGGTCAAGCCAGGAGACGCGTAGAGGCGAGAGGAATCATTTCGCAATGTTTTTCGCGGAATAGGTGAACAATCCGCGGTGTAAGCGGCTGAATACAATGTTCGGACTGGCCTTTAATCGACGCGTGAAAATAGAAATTAATGTGAAGTTTATTCCGCGAACCTCACGCGAGAGACGTATCGCTGAATGAATAATGGTTTTAGACGATGTCCGTGACCCGAATGATACGATCGAAGATTATTCGTGGATAATCTTCGCGGTATTCGTCCGTTCGTCGTTAACGATGATTGTCTACCCTCGAGCGACGCGAATGAAATCATGGAGGCTGAATCAAAAGCGTTAAAAAAGAAGCGAGCATTTTCGAGAATCAATCACGAGACCCTTAAAAGAACGTGTGAATCGAGGATTGGAAAATACCGAATGGGAGATGATTGATGTAAAAAGTAAATTACCTTCGGACGAGGAATAAAGTACAACGATCGGTCGAGTTCAACTCTGATTTAGATTATTCTTATAGCTAGAAGAATAAATCCTTACGACACGAAGAATACATAGAATTGTACTTTATTTCCCTTGAATTTATATGTTCCATTCGAAGTTGGTATAAACGCCCGTCTAATTGCCGCGTACACTTTTACGCTGTAACTTTAAGAGAATCGCTTATTATCCTAATTATTCGGTTCGAAAACGATACGAGACATCAAATTATTGTTCGGCAAACTGTCGTTCAAAGAAAGTAACCACAAGCCTGATGCTCGATCTCATTAGCCTCATCACGGATGACGACTAAAATGTAATAATTATCGCAATTACGGGTCCCATTCTGTAACCGTTAATACCTCCGTCCCCGCCATTGTGAACGAAACGATTGCGGCGGGCCCCAATTAACAGTTACATAAAGTAACTTATAATCGAGTCAACGGTTCAATTTTAATCGCCGTCATTAACGCGTAATCAGATTACATTTACCCCAACCCAGTTCGTTTGAACTCTATCGAGTCGCAGGTTCGACGAACCAGCTCTGACACATAAATTAATAATTAAAGTGTCAATGTGTACGCAAAACCCTCGGGGAACAGTCGTTAAATTCTTGTTTGAAACGTATTAATCAAAGTGCATGGAATAATATACAATTACACCAGGTTTGCGGAGATTCACTGTACATTTTATTTCATTATTAATTAAACGAGAAAGATAGATGTTCGTGCATATTGATCTTGAATATGAGAACTCCAAACACGGAGAATTTACCTGCGTATAATTACTTTACAGAAGTTTATATATTACCCTACCAAACACGTGGTGAATTTTTCAAACGGAATCTAACAAAAATAAACGCCATTTAATTCTTCCCAGTACAAATGAAACGTTCATCTTGTATCATCTATTTTTCTCTTAGAAAATCGCTGACACACGCCAAGCATACAATTCTTTCTTTGTTTTAAATAAATCGAGTCGCTCAGGAACCAACGCGGTTAAATCCAGAGAACAGAAATTAAGAAAATTAATGTTTTAACTTCTGAAATAATTATAAAAGATATTCAGAAGCTATAAAAAGGAGGGCCCTCTGCCTTAGAAAAAACGAAGAAACGAGTCAGCCCTTTAATAATTATAAAGGATATTATTTATTCCATTAAAATCTACAGAAATCAAAAAATACTTAAAAATCGACTTAACCGCATTAGCTTCTGAGCGATAAACAATAAAATATCTCTACTGAGCGCAATCGTGAAAAGAATGATAGTGCAAGGGGTCATCGCCAAAGAAATCCGAAACAGAACACAAGATATGCTAAAAAAACCGACAGTCACGAACAAGGT